GGAGACACGAGAGGTCACTTCAGATTAACAGAGAATAAACCACAGGTAACGGAGTCGTAAGTAAAGCAGAAAACATTTAACTAAAGAAAACTAAGAACAATTTTCTATTTGTTCCACAAATGACAGGAGAGCAATCCTTCTTTTAAAATGTGTTTGCTTATATATATATATAAACTAGAGGCCCGGTGCATGAAATTCATGCACTGGAGTGGGGAGGGGGGGGTCCCCTCAGCCTGGCCTGCCCCCTTTCATAGTCCAGGAGCCCTCAGGTGTGGGAGGTGACCCAGCATTCAGGGGAAGGTGACGCCCCATCACACCTCTGCTGCTGCCACAAGATGGCCAGCAGGAGAGGGCAGTTGGGGGCAACCGGGCCAGCAGGGGAGGGCAGTTGGGGGCAATCAGGTCGACAGGGGAGCAGTTAGGTTTCGATCAGGCTGGCAGACAGAAGCATTTAGGGGTAATCAGGCAGGCAGGCAAGCATTTGGGAGCCAGCAGTCCCAGACTGTGAGCGGGATATCCGACTGCTGGTTTAGGCCCAATCCCTGGGATCCCAGATTGGAGAGGGTGCAGGCTGGGCTGAGGGATACCACCCCCCTCCCGTGCACGAATTTCATGCACCGAGCCTCTAGTCCTTTCTATAAACAAAAATCCAAAATTCTTCAAGGTACAGGTTTTCTAATCTCTTATGCGTTTTAATCATTCATTACTTATTCTTTTGCCCCGTTTCTACAGGTTGCACTGTGACACGAACATGTCAGCAGGTATATGTCCTGCCTTCATTTTTCTTCCTTCTAGTCAATAAAAAATGAAAGTGGGAATGCTAGGACCTGTTAAAAAGGAAGTGAATTCTCTGTCTCACTCTGCACCGTTGCCCTGAAGTCACATTTCCCGATGGAGAAAGAAGACACTCAAGAGGAAAGAGGGTTGTAGTGTAGATAACAAATGCGCACAGGAGTCAGGACGTTTGCGCTCCAAGGTCAGACGGCTGCCCTGACAACTCTGGATGGTGGGGTGAGAAAGGGAAACATGAGGTGAGGGCTGGATGGCCATCCAGGGCACCGCACACACTCGGACACGTCTGCAGCTGCATGTAACAAAGACGTGCCTGCTGTTTGAAACTGGAATTTGGCAATTAGGAATCTATCAGAAACCTCTCTCAAGCAAGGAGGGAAATGGAAGAATGTCAGTGCTTGCGGTTTTCTTAAAGTGCCAGATGAGAACGCCCACACTGGGAGAAGTCACTAGAAGGATGACAAACATTTGACAACTGAGAGAACGCTTATATTTTTTCAGGCAGAAATGGAAAAAGGGAAGAAGCCCTAAAGTTGAAACAGGGAGAGGGACCCACAGGGAAGAAGAGCCAGATCAGAACTCTCATCCTCACCAGGCGAAAGCACACATGGACCATGACCTTATGCACGAGGGGATTCAAGCTGTGACTTAATATTTATGTGACAGACGTCATTGCTGACACACTTCCTGGCAACAATCAAGCTGCAACTTCTCTACACAGCTCTAGAGTCCTGTGTTCAGAAAACGCAGTCACTAACCTGTTTCCTAGGACCGCCTGGCAGATAGGTGGGAAAGGAAAGAACGGCAGCTCTAAATCAAGGAACTCTAAGAAATCTGTGCTAATTTTCACAAATGGACAAAGAAAATGTGTCCCCCCCCCCCAAAAAATATCAGAAACTAAAGCTTTATGCTCCATACCACGGTGATAACCATGAGCACATCCCAAATGACAACCTGACAAATGGCCAACTCCATTTTATTAAGAGAGGGTCAGTGATTTCTGCAACTAAACAAGTATGGTATCCCTCTGTGCTGGACTCTAAATTAGGCCCCTCAGAACATTGAAGTCAGTAAGAGCTCTGGGGGTCAGGGGAAATGAAATGACAATATTTTACTTTATCAAACATTTGCAACTAACACAGAGTGGCTCTGTTCTTGGAATAGGGCCAGTGTATTTGATTTTTTTTTTTCAATCAAATGAATCCAAGATAGAAAACTTTCAAAATATTTTGGAAAGAAATTATATTGAATCCATTTAATCTTGCTAGGAAAAGGAACTGAATGAAGGTGGCCAGGGAGAGGGGAAACACAGGCTTGGTACCACCTGCTCTCATTAAGAGACGTACTGTTTGTTCACATTTACTCTTACAAATTAGAAATAAATGCTGCCTACCAATTCATCTCTCAGGAAATAATTATACACAATATAAAACACAAACAAAGAAACAAACAAAACCATCCCACAGAAACCGCAGGAAAAATTAATCTCAGATTCAGATGTTTATGAAGGAGGAACAGGCAGGTAAGATCTTTAAGGATAAAAGGGTGAGCTTTATGATACATTATTTTCCAAAACAGGGTTACAATGAAAAGAAAGTGCATAAGCATCTTATCAATTCTTAATTAAAACAAAGAGGGCTACCCCTGGCCCAGAGCAGTAATAGCTGCCCATCCCCAGATAATCCATCACCGAGCCAAGCTTGCTGATAAAGGATTACAGGTACAGTTCTCAGATACTATTTTTACATAAGTTTCCCACTGGAAAGACATGAGCATGGGAAATGTTTTGCTGTTGAAATGGAATGTTTCTGGTTTCGATTCTCTTTACTGGTCTCCCAGTTCTCACCCCAATCCAGAACCCTGCCATTCAGAGCTCATGTGCTTTCCTTCTCTACTTGAGTGTAAAAACCCACCCTGACTGTAAGATTTTTACTAGATTTCCATTTGTTTTGCCTCAGCTCCTACATTAATCCACACAATCAGGGCCTTTAAAACCTTCATGAATAACCTGCTGCTGCTGGCCCCTCGGAGCCGCGTGCAGCGATGTTAAGCAACAACAAATTTCATAGTTCAAGAGGCGCAGTTAAGGAAAAGGTGGCTCAGGAAGTCACTCTGATTTAGCACAAAGGTCCTTAAAATTCCATGAAATCAGTCAAGTAACTATAGAAACCAGTTTCTTCAGCTTCATATCACACGTCTCACACCTCGATTGTCTGTCTTATTGTCTGCTGTCAGATCCGTAATCAGAAATGTGAACGGGCTGGATGATTTATTCAGCAGGGAAAAGAATCTGTAGGTCAAGTGAAAAATTTCACACACACACACACACACACACACACACACACACACACCAGCTTCAACCTCAGGTACTTTCATTTCCTTCTGTTCTCTGCAGCTCTGGGGGCAACTCCAGTGAGATCCAATATTAAGGCTCAATTAAAATAAGCTCCAATTAGTGGAGCTTTTTTCTCTGGGGCTAGAAAAGTCAGGAAATGGATATTGGGAAATGTAAAAAGTCAGCTACTGAGAGGAGGCTGCAGACATAAATGAACTTATTTGTTGATTTCTACAGTTGCTATGCAGAGGCCTCTGGGAGTAAAAGCTTAACCAGTCTAAGCTATAAACCAAACCCCTGCAGCCAAACATGAACTGTGTGAAACAAGGCTCCATTCCAGAACAGAAAACTGCTGGGCCCAGAAAATTAAAAGCCAGAGGCGTTTTCCATTTAAAACTAAATCCCAGGACCGCCTCCCAGCCAAAGAATTATAAGCAGTATCAGATTTACAAAACGAACAATTACCCTGGAAAAATGTAGCCTATTGTACAGTCCCAGATGCTAAATCTCAGAAGTTACTTTTCCCCCTTAATCCCACATTATTTCCCTCCGAGTGTGCTGCTGGAGTTCACAAAGAGCCCTTCTAGGCAGGCCTGTGCCTGGAAGCAAATGTTAAAAGGAGAGCGAGCACATCCTCACTGACCTCATTCGAAGCGCTGCCCTTGCCCTCGGCGGCTCCCGTCCTCCCAGGGCCTCTGCACATGGCATGCACGGCCAAGGCAGCCCTGACTCCCCGCCAGGGGAGAGCTGCCAGCCGCCCCCCACACAAAGGCAAACGCGGGAACTCGGAAGTCCTACCTCCTTGGCTTTCTGCTTCAGTCTCAGCTGCTCTGGGTCTTCTTTATTGGCACGGCTC